CATACATACATACATACATACATACATACATACATACATACATACATGCGTACATACATACACGCACACACATACATACCCACATACATACACGCATGCATGCGTGCATGCCAGACACACACATACCTACATACATACATACATACATACATACATACATGCACCCATACACAATACATACATACATGCATACATGCATACATACCTCTGTCCCACACTACCAAACAAACAATTCACTTCAAATCGGGTATCCTCAAGTGTCAACTTTTCCAGCAGTAGAATTGCAAGAAGCAAGTGGAAAAATAAGCGACGTGGCAAAGCGTGTCCACGAGTGATTGCCCGCTGGTACGCTGGTAGCTGGCTGCGCTGTTTACCCTGGTTGCGCGCCGTTTACGCTGGTTACTCCGGCGACGCTGTTTACGCTGGTTATGCCGGTCACAAAAAGTATGATACTTTGAAATGGTTTTTCAACATCTGACACGTCGGAATGGCTTTTTCTTCCTCCAACTTTCGCCCTGACAAGATGGAATCGTTCTTTCTCCTCCAAATTTTACCCTCGGGTGGCTCACAAAAAGGCATGCTACGTTGGAATGGCTCCTTCCTCCTCTAAATTATACCCGTGTTCATAACAGTTTGCTAAAGAGCGCGCGACAACGAAGCCACTGAGGCGCAGAAATGTTTTCATGCGTCTTCGCGTCTGAGATTGCCTGTTGAGGCATCGACAGCCTGAACCCCTGAACGACCTGTCACCTTGAAGATCTATATGTGTGTTCCTGTCTTATCTTTGGACAATTGGGGGTGTGCCCCGCGCAGCCATTATGGTGAAGGCTTCCCCAATCTTCCACCATGCGCGCGTACAAGAGAGTAGTTGAGTAGATGTTCGCCTGCACAAGCAAGCGCTACGCCGCTATGTGGGCCTGTCTCAACAACAGCATGGCCTTCGCAGTGCGGACGTGGGTCCATTTTGATGTCTCCGAATGGATGTCAAAAACGCTGCGCAACCCCACACACAGCTAGGCCCCCGCGCCCCATCAACATGATGACAGTGATGCCAGTGGCGAGGATTAGGAGCCAAAGCCAACCTCAGCTCTGGGTGTCTCAAACAATCCGTTGTATTTTCACAGCGAGATGAATGACCTGACTGGCTTGCTTTGCCCAATCATCACAACATATTCTTCCGATTCTTCCAGGGACTTGGATTCCCAATCGTATACGTTCGGACTCCCGAGACTCACGATCACCCACTGGGCACCAGCACCGCAACGGCGCCAGGTCATCCGCCTCCGGACCGGCCGAACGAAGCAGTTGGAGGGAAACAGTCCACTCACCTAAAAAGGAAAAAGGAGGAAACTGGATAGCCTTAGAGCGATTCACGTGGCTCGCTCACGGATTGGACACTTGCGCTTGCATGGGCCACTTTTCAATGAAGGATTGGAAATAGGCCGCTGGTCAGCAAACGGTTGGAAATATGAAATACGCATGTGCGTTGGGCACTTTTCAATGAAGGGTTGGAAACATGCAACCTCCCTGCCTGCACACCTGGTTTCTCAGGCCCTGTAAATCTAGGTTGGCATGTGGCATATGGCAGTCAAGTCGAACGATGTTTTTCCCGAGCGTGTACTGAAAAACAAGGGTTCCTACGGAAGCCCTAAGTGCAGTTCCAAAGTTGTCACACCCTTTCCGCTGGTTCCCAGTGATGTCTTGCGTCTATCTAGATAGGTGATCTGGAGCCAACCATCGGTGTGTACATGTATGGTTCCCCTACAAGGTACCTTTTCAGTCGGGCGTTTTCCTGTTAGTTGGTTTCAATGTAGAGGCTCGGAAGGCTCGTCAATCACCCATCTAAATTGGGATTGGCCACACTTCCCTTTTGGAAATGAAGCTTTGAGGGATGAACCCTTCGAAAGATGCCGCGCATGCATTCTAGGAGCGCTTTCCTCTCTATCTTCCCCTTCGTGAGACTGCCTGGTCTCGGGTGTCTACCCACCCCACAAGGTTTAAGATTCCAAGAGTCAAAACTTCTTTCAGCCAAGCCACATGGCTGAGGAGAGACTTTTCCGTTGGGATTTTCCTGTTTTCTTGAGTGACAGAGTGGTATACTGACATCGCATCTAAGAAAAGATTAATTTTACCTCAAGTCCTCCACCCTCTCTGATCGCCTTGGCTTCGAAGGTCTCAAGACAGCCACGTTTTATTTCGTGACATGTGAAAGCAATCCCCATCGAGTGGTCAACTGCGGAAGTAGCTGCAAGAAGCTCTGCAGCATACGTAGACCGAACCACAAGCTTATGAGACTGACAAAGAGATTCTATCAGGCGCAAGCACTCTTGGCTACAGCCTAGATTCCCTGTGTAATCAGCACCAGCAAGCATTGTTTATGTCCCTTCTGGGCGCGGTTGCGTACACCCGTCTAACACAGCCGTGGATTCTGGTGTACATAACCGCGCTTCAGCGTAAGAATAAGCAGGCTACCGTTGCCGACCTTAAGAAGCTTAATGCCTTAACTCGTGAAATCATGAGAAGACCTCAAAAGCTGCATTATTGCAATATGAGACCTGATGGAACTTTGGATGTGTATAGCGACGGTGCCTTTTCTCGAGAGGGCGATTCAGCTCACTCGCTCAAGGGCATGGTATGCCTTCGAAAAGGTAGGAACCAGAATGGTGATTGATAATATTTGGGGTGAATTGGCTTGAAGGCAGAAATATAATCATTTTGAGGCGCGTCTATTGAACCGTCCGGGAGTCTTTCATGGGTCATGCCGCAATTGGTGTATCTATTTAACTGCATCGTGAGTCTACCAAATGGGGCTTCTAAGATACTAACTAGTTTATCTACTTCAGATTTCTCCCCTGCAAACTTTACGTCATCCACATGGATGGAAATTATTATGGCAAGGTTCTTACCTCTGAAGAGCAACATCAGCTGAGGATCATAGAGTGTTGACTCAAAACCGTGACTTCTTAGGATGCGCATGAGGCGCATGGAGAAAGCTCGCGGCGCGTCGCGGCACCCAGTCCCGGGTTTAAGGCACGAAACAACATGTTGATGCTCGTCAAAACTTTCGTATCCTGGGACACATCGCAAGTGACGTGCGGTACCTTTAGGTGCTGTGAATGCGATGCTCTTAATCGGTTCACTAGTGATGTCACTGATCTCTTTGAAAGCGAATCCCTGCAAGAACGCTTTGGGGATGTCGGAGGCACCAAAAACACAATCTTTCCTACAAGCAGCTTCAGATGCAAGGATCCGTTGGCTGATCCGCTGAGCTGTTCCTGCGAAGTTCTGCTCGTCATCTTTGATTGGTTCCTTAAACCCCGTAAGCGCCATTCGAGCTCTGATAGCTCTTTTGCCGTCTATGTACTTCCACTTTAACACCATACGGGAATCTATGATTAGGGGTGCTTTCTTTCTAAAGTTTTATATTCGATACCATAGCCTCATCTAGTTATCTCTTGTGAGTGATCATCTCGTTTTCTGTCATGATGTCTGTATCTCGACTGACCACCTCTTTCTTAGCCTCCGCTCCTAGATATACTTTGAGACTTAGAGTACATGATGGACCAAACGGCGGTGTGTTGGGATGCTCTTCGTTAAAAAAAAAAGATGCTATTTCTGGATCGATTTCGAGTTCCAAAAACGGACCTAGCGCGTCGAACGACAAAGTGTCGGACTGGCTCGCTCCTCTCAAAGCTAGGTAGATTTCGGGTTCGAAATGCTCTTGGTCCGGCTCTATGAAGCTGTTCATACTTCATGATGTCATAAGTGCAAAGTGTTGGAGAAAGAGAATCTCGGCTTCGGATGATGCTCTGTTGCTTTCTGTATGTTCTTCTGGGGTTGTACTTAGCCTAGCACTATAGCCATCGTTTAACGATTGTGCATGTGAGCTCCTGTCCTGTCTGACAGGTTCCCTGATGGGCAAGCTATCTACAATTTCTTCCATGATGATTCCATGTGACTGATCGAGGCAAAAACACTGCATTATGGCAAAATGCGGTTCCTGCTGTCCAAAGATGTCATTGACATTAAACTTAGCTGTCTCTGCTGTGTATGCGCTCATGCGATCTGGATTCGTGATATCCCAGTTGAAAGTTATATTGAACTGCGGTCCTGCTTGTCCTGGCAATTTATGGACATGTCTCCCTATTCTTACAGAACAAACATCATACAATTGGAACGATGTACGAATTAAATGATTCAGTGAACGCGCTACTTTCGGCCACCTCTTGGTTGTTCGAGTGACAATTGGGTTGCCCCACGAATCCTCCACAAGGCCGAATGTTTCCGTTCTGCCTGCCGAGAGCTGTTTGAGAAAAGCATGGATCAGGTTCAATGCATTTTGGGATATAACTACATTGGCTGTACCATACAAAGACTGTGCAAACATTGTGTGACGAACGTCTTGGATTCGATATGGCCGATTGATACCATTGATGCTTACTACAATGACTCCATCATGAGCTCTAGATTCAACTACACCATAGGGACCACTCCACCCGCTCACGTCTTTATTGGATGGGGTCCTATAGAGTTCAACTAGGTCATCTGGTTTAAAGCGGTCTGCTGCTGTCAAAGTTGTTGGTACCTTTACGGCCCTGGCTACCCTGGTTGCACTGGTAGCACTGATCATGCTCTGAAGGGCAATCTCCCGAATCCTAGCTTCTCGACGATCATTCAGTCCAGGGTCGTCGGTGATTGGTGGCAACATACTGGGTTGTCTGCCGAACACGACCTGATATGGCGTTGATCCACCAACATGAGTTAGCGAATTGCCACAGAACACACATTGCGCAAGCAGGTCTTTAAAAAATAAGTCGATGCCGATGCCTTCACGAACTGCTTGAGTGTCCATCACATGCAAGGCATGGCGAAGAATGGCGCCTCTTCTTTCGATATATCTTGCATGCTGATCTTTTCCCCGAACCTTGAGATTGGTGCCAAGTCTCTTTAAATGTGCAGTTGCGTTAGCTGTATTTAAACCTGATTCGGGGTCTGTGACAAGTGTTCTCATTGGACCGAAAAGACTTATCCACGCGGTGGATATATTCTCGAGCAATTGTGCTTCAGTTCGGCTTGGTGTCTCTATAGCACTATGCCAACGGGATGCACGACAGACAAAATGTTGGATCACATATTCTTTATAATACATTAAGTCTGTTTCGACCACTTCACCGAATGACATAGCAATTTCAACTGCTGGTTGAGTATCTCTCGGTCGAGCTGCCACATTCTGCATTCTTTGCATGTAGCTATTATGTTGGGGACTAGATCTATGACTGCTTGCGCCACCGGCATTACGAAGGATTGATTGCATGTTTCTCACCGGCGCGCCATAGTCGGAGATGAATCTTCCTCAAAGTCTTAAGCACTGTAGGTTCGTTATCACTTCTCAATGCCCGGAGGCAGTGAGTTGGGGACACCAGCGGCTGCATCCCGAAAGGTTGTTCATCATTCCGATCTGAGGGGGATTGAGCTTCTTCCGGTTGTTCCAGCCTGCCTTCACCAGAAGGTACAGAAGCTTCTCCTGGCGCAGCGTCTGATGGTGCCCCCTGCCGGCCTGCCCCTTTTACAGCCTTCGCATCCCCATACTATAGACTCCGTCGTCGGCCAGCGACACTCTCCCCGGACTCGGGTGTGTCTGGCATCATTTCTGGACATGTGGCCTCTGCATCCAGGGCACTTTCTGAGTGGATCTTCTGAAGATCTTGAGGGTGCCGAGGGTGAAGCCAGATCGGAGCCGGAAGCAACACTGGGATATTGATGAGATTCTTGAGGTGTGTCTTCTGTGAAATACAGCGGCTTTAAAGTGCTTCGCTATTGCTTACAAACCGGGTCGGCTTCTTAGCAAAACCACCTTCTGGACCTCGCTGATCGGCCGCACACTGGTGAATTACAACTGATTTGGCTGATGGATTCTTGAACACAATAGACCATTCGGTTTCTTTCCACAACTCAGAGGGATGTGGCTGCTCGGCTAAGAAGTAAAGGTTCAGTTCATTAACTAGCGATGCAACACTACCGCAAAACTTTCCGTGCGGGCGCGCTTGATGCAAGCTTGCCTTCCACGCACTAGGACTCATGTGTCTGACCAACTGTGACATGGGCCCGTAGGGCGTGCATGTTGGCGCCATGATTGTTACAAAAGGTCGGTATTTTCGAATGTAATTTGACTGATTGGATGTATTGTTCAAGTCACAATTAATTACAAACGAGATCAAAACTATCTCCTGCGTTCAGCCCTTTACGAATAGCTATAGCGCTGCACCTGGCCATTCATCCAC